CTCAAGGACACTCTGCACCATCACTTAACCTGCAGGCCCTTCCTGGACACCTGAGGGGAGGGAGCGTGCAGTGACCAGGAGGCAAAGGTGTGGATGCCCCTGACCTCACCTTCCTGATTCAGGACGCTCCTATCACACCAAAGGTTCTTCTGCCACGGCAGAGCACACAGGTGCGCCTGTGGTTACCTACTGGGAGCCCTGTTCGAGGCACATCTTGCTTCTTGCAATAGATGTGCTCCCCCAAATGTTGAAAATAAACGAAATTTGTAAAAATTGAAGCACGCCTCAAGTGTGCTAACAGGGCTATTTCAAGGAAATGTTGGTGAAACCTTGACCAAATCATCTACTTGATACATTTTGCCTTTTGCTCATAATCAGATCAATCTAAAAAACTGAGTATCTACTTTGCATAAAGGGAGCCATGGCATTTACGGTGAAGCCACCTGCCAGGCTTTAGAAGGTATCTGAAGAGTGTCTAGAGAGGCCCTCCCAGGGGGAATGCTCATATACTCACCATTGGGCCTGGAGAACCGTTCTCTCCTGGGGAACCACTCTCACCCTGGAAAACAGAGGCAGAGGGTCAGTGACTGGGACCCCAGTGCTAGCCCCCAGACAACTCCCCTGGAAGAAGCTGAAAGCTCTGGTCATCTCAGCTAGCACTGACACCCCCAAACTTTAGTTCTGTGAGGGACAATTCCCAGAGCTTTCCAGAACTGCCGTTCATACATTAGGACGTAGGACTGGCTGTCCTAACCCAAGCTGTTCAGGTGTCCTAACTCCACTGAGCTCAGTACCATCTCCCCATTGTCCGTCCCCTATCCCCGTGTGCTTCTTGGTCCTTACCTTCACACCTGGAGCACCAGCTTCTCCCTTAGCACCATCTAGACCTGGGTAACCCTACGGGACAAGAGAAGACATTCAATCGCACTTCTGGGGAAGCCAAATAGGAAGATTCATGTCCTCAAAAGCCTTTTTCTCCCTTGGTCAATCCCTTCCTTCCAACACCCTCAACCCATGATACTTACTCTGTGACCTTTGACACCAGGAAGGCCTGGGGTTCCTGGGAAGCCGCGAGCACCCTGCAATCCAAAGAAGAGATTCTCAGGGCACCGAGCAGAACCGGGTCAAGACTGCCCTGGGCTGCTACAGAGCCCTCAGAGCCAGGGAGCAGTGGAAGCCCAGTACTGGGACCATCTTTCAGTCAATCCCAGAATCCCCTTCACTGTGCCTCACCCCTTCTTATGCAAAGTGGGTCTGAACAACTCCCATGTAGGCTCAGAGACATGGTCATCAGCATGAAGGTGTGATGTACGTGGAGACTGCTGGACCTTTAGGAGTGAGCTAACGGAACCGGGTGAGCTGGGCGGGAGGCCACTGCCTTGGCCGCAAGGAGGGAGACTCTGGGAATGATGCTGGAAGCTGGGGAAGGTGGGGCTTTACCTGAGGACCCGGAAGGCCTCTCTCGCCAGGTTTTCCAGCCTTTCCAGCTTCACCCTGAAGGGAGAGAGATGAACCTCAGCTTCCTCAGAAGACACGTTAGCACAGCTGGCATACTCCAGAGCACTGTCTCTCCTCCCAGCCCGCCATGCCTTTGCCCACCTGCTTCCTCATCTCCACCCCGCTCCTTCAGGTCCCAGACTTCCCCGAATGCCTTCCCTGGCTCACCGTGTCTTCTCTCACACAGCTGCCTGTGCCCTGGGCAAGCTCCTCTGTCCCCAACCCCACGGCCTCCAGGCTCCCCTGGTGGGCTCCCTGTCTCCTCTCATAGGCACTGCTGACTGGCCTAGGGCCCCCTAACCTCAGAGACTTTCACTGTCTAATGGGATTCACGAGTGCCAACTCTTGTCTCTTCCCTTCGTTTGCATCCCTTGCAGACATCCTGACTCAGGCTGAGCTTTTCCTAACTCATTTACAATTAAGATAATGTCGGGCTGTTGAGTGTTTCTTTCTTTGTTTTTCCTTCTCTACATCTTTCCCCTTGTGTTTTCCCTCTCCCTTCTCTCACTTCTCAATTTCCCTTCCAGGAGTTAATGATGTTTTAATTAGTTCCCTTCCCAGTGGGTCCAAAGCAGTCCCCAAGGCAATTGCAAGCTAAGTTGCCAGTGGAAATGTGGACAGTAGGCGGAGTCCGAGTCTCCAACAGACCAGCTCTGCCCCTCAGGTTGCCTCTCCCTTGGGTCAAGCCGAGGGTGCCTCTGTATCGCTGCCCAGCACCCCCTCTCTGGGCCCTTTCAAGTGAGGCGGCTACTTGTTTGACTCCTCAGGTGTACTCACATCGTCACCAGGTTTTCCAGGGGGGCCAGAAGGGCCGCGGGGACCCATGGGACCCTACGAACGAAATAGGAGAGTTTAAGAGATGGTTGGAGGGGGAAGACACCCAATCAGTGGACAGAATTTGGGGATTGTAGCTTTTGGAAGCTAGTTCCTCTATAAGGAAAAAATGATGGAAGAACCCTGGGACTTCCCTGGCAGTCCAGTGGTTCAGACTCCACGCTTCCAATGCAGGGGTTGCAGCTTTGCTCCCTGGTCAGGGAACTAAGATCCTGCATGTGGGCAGGCCGCGCAGCTTGGCCAAAATATTCAACCACACTCCAATTAAAAAAAAGATGGAAGGACCCACTTTGTGCTGAGAGAGAGCAGATCATAGTGGGAGGCGGTGGACAGCACAGGCCAGGGGTGACCCAGAAAAAGGACTGAGATGACAGAGTCCTGGGTGGTTCTTGCCACATCTGGCTCTCTGTTCCCCCAGAGCTAAGAGAGGACCTCTGGGTTTCCTTTGAGCCCTCCACCGCGGAGAGTGCTGGGCAGAGCCCGGGAGGCGACAGGATCGGGGTCGGAGCGGTACATCATTGGAAGCTCCCCCCAAGGAGGGCAGGGCCCACGGAGGTACTCACAGCAACGCCGGGTTCCCCAGGTTCCCCAGGGTTGCCTTGAAATCCTTGAGGTCCCTAAAAAGTAAGGTGAGGACACCAGGTTGGCCCCCCGCAAACTGACATCAGAGAGCTTGAAAGCATCTGTGTCTCCACCTTCCAAAAGGAAAGGCCCAGTACTTACGGGAGCACCAGCAGGGCCTGGAGGTCCCCGAGGTCCCATGGGGCCCTGCATTGGAACAGAAAATGAGGAGCTTTACTGGAAATGCTTCACCCACAGCCTCCAGGGTGCCACCTCCTCCCAGCCAACAGCCCAGACAAAGGACAAGGAGTTACTCTGTGAGCAGGGGGCCTGCAGTGGCCGCGCCCTCTCATTTCCCACTCCCCTCGCAACAATCTATTTTTATTTATAGGTACCATTTGGACAGAGAAGCTGGCCTTGCTTTCCCCTGGACGGCAGCCATGTTTACTAAAGTCTGAGTTTCATTTAGCCTGTGCCAAGTGGGAGCTGCAGGGCTGAGAGTTCCTGCTGGAAGTCTTGTGGATGCCGGAGAACAGTGGCTGCTGTCTGCATTCTTCAGTTCTCATTCCAAGAGCAATAGCAACTGGCCTTCTGACAGATCAGCCTATATGCCTCTCTCCATCCTCATTCTTCTTAGTCACTCCAGCGCATCATTAAAACTGGCATCCATCGCCGTTAAAACCCAAATGCTTTGGGCTAGCTAAATGGGAGGTTACGTAACTGTTGGGGAAGAGCTGCTCTAAGCAATTACCTGTAAAGTGAGGTTGTCAGAGTCCCCGGCTCTAATAAGGGCCACCTCCTGCCATTTTGGCTGCAAAGAACTGGTGTTTTTTTCTTACCATTGGTCCCTGCATTACTCCCAACTGGGCGCCACCAGCCTTCTCATCAAATCCTCCAGCCATCTGAGCAGCAAAGTTCTGCAAATAAACCCAACAACATTAAAAGCCTGGGAGGCCCTGTGCTTTTCCTACTTGGCTAGGTAAGCTATATCTGGATAGAAAATACTCTATTTAGAGAAATTCTAATTGTTGGAGACTAACCTAGCCTTGATCTGAATTACTAATGATTCCTGAAAAATTGTTTTGGAAATGGGTTATTAGATGACAGTGGCATAGTCATTTCCCTGGGAGATGAAGTGTTATTTGGAAGAGTATCCATTACTTGCATTTCATTTTATAAGTTTTTAAAAAAAATTCTAAAACATTAAATACGTTATTTAACATAAATTGAGAAATATAACTAAAAATATCACTTTTAAAGTTTCTTTTTTTCTTTTCCAAGACTTTAATGCCCAGCAAAAGACTAGAATGAACAGTCTTGAAATATTTTAACAGGGGATGTAGTAGGCATCTATGAGCCATTCAAATTTAAAAATTTAAATCATAGCAAACATCAAAATGGCAAACCTGCAAAAACTGGGCAATAATATAATTTGTTGATTGGTTTGATTCCAAAAATGACTTTAGTCACACACCTTCGCTCAGTGGGGCTCTTTCATGAGAATAAATAATTGCTTGGAATGTACTTGGCAAAGATGAAGATTCAATGTCTTCCAAGGACAGCGGTCACTCTTCTTCCAGGGAACTACAAGTGCCCAGTCATCCTCTCCCCCAAGCCCCACACCCACTCCCAAGAATCAGCCACACAGTACAGACGCCAGGAAGCCAGGTAACTGAAGACTTGCTTTGCAGAAACCCAGTGAGTGAAAAAAGTCATCCCTTAGCGCCGCAGTCTCATGCCTACTATGTGATTCCACTAAATTATAGGCCTGGGGGAGAAGCCCATGGACAGGCTGTGTACACACTGCTGGCAGCCCTGGGAGCCAGCCAGGTGAGTGTGACTAGCAATTTAGAAGCCACGCTTCTGGAGGGACAGACTGAAGGAAGGGGACATAAGGATACTTACTCCACCAAGACCAGGGGGGCCAGGGGGGCCAGGAGGACCAGGGGGGCCAGGGTTTCCAGGGGTCCCAGGCTCTCCATCTCTGCCACGAGGTCCAGGAGCACCCTTGGCAGAGAGAGAAAAAGGCCCCAATGAGAAGCAGTGTTTATGCAAGAACCATCTGTCTACAGGCTGCCCTTGAGGAGGTAGGTAGTCAGTCATTTGGGGGGGGGGGAGCTTAGAGAACCTTGGCAGTCCACAAGGGTCAGACAGCATTGTTTCTCTACTCACTTTTTCACCTTTGTCACCACGATCACCTCTGGGTCCTTGTTCACCTGCAGGTCCCTGAAAATGAAGAAAATATTGAGATGACAGCCAGACCAGGGGCCTGCAGTTCAGTAACTCAAGGAAGACACGGAGGAAGGGGTTTCTCCCTTTCTTACCTGAGGCCCAGGAGGTCCTTTGGGTCCTACAATCTGTGATAGAGAGACCCACAGGACGGCAAGTTAGAGGGAACCTCAAGGACATGACCCAGTTAGAGCAGCAGATGCAACGTGGGAGTATAATGCGTACTTACATCCTTGATGTCTCCAGGTTCTCCTTTCTGTCCCTGAAACACGAAACACTGTCAGGATTGAGCCAAGCAAGCCCTCCAAGGCCCAAGCACACAACCTTGCCCAGGAGCCCTTGCATCGAGATGCCCTCTGAAACAGATCCCTGTTGATGTCTAAAGACCACAGGCTGAATGAGCATAGCAATGCTCCTAGAGAAGGAACCATAAAGGCAAAAGAAAGCGCAAAACACAACAAGAATCCTCACCTTTGGTCCTGGTTGCCCTGCAAATGGAAAAAATAGAGAAGGAAAATGTAAGATTCATGAGATGGTTACGTACAACTTCTTGTCACTTAGACACTCTTGAACGGATCAAACAAAGAAAGGGACACAACCAGGGAAGGAGGCAGCTTCCTGTTACTCCACTGAACCCCTCTGTTGGGGTGTTAGGGTCACTGGGGTCCTGGAGTTGCTGAGGTCCCATGAGGAATGGAGATGACGCAGACTTTGTTATTCGAAAGGCAGTCAGCATGCACAAGAACGGAGCAGGGGTGGTACAAAGAGAAAAGGAAGAATTCAAGATCTAATCAGCCGTCTAGAAAGAAAGCACCCGAAACTGGGAGGTTCAGTCTCTTCTCTTCCTCACAGGGTAAGAAGCCCCTCCGTAGCCCAAGCGCCACCCCACCCCCCACCAACCTCCTCCACCCCAGAAGAAGAGTTAGGCAGTTGGAAAGGTCTTACATTCAAGCCGGATCTCCGTGAAGCAAGCACAAAAAACAGCAGAGCACAGGAGTTACAGAGGGCCTTGGAGCCAGTGCCACCCCGAGTCAATAACCCCTTCCCCCTCTGCAGCAGCGAAGTCGTAAAGGTGATCAACGCTTCACTCACACAGGTCCCCTCAGAAATGATCTGGGAATCTGGACCATCAAAGCAGCTTCCCCAAGCAGCTTTCCAGGGTGGGTGAAGTGTTAAGGAAAGGCAACTGCTCGCTTCCCTCTCAATTGTCTTCTCTACTTGAGCAGGAAGGGAAAAGTGAGGGCCACCCAAGAGGCCTAGATGTGTGTCCCCAGCCACCCTCCAGGGAGATAGGGCATGTGTTCCAGAGCTGAGGAGGGGTCACCTGCACACCCGCCAGCCCTGGCTCCAGCTGGGAGTTAACAACACACCAGGGTGCAGGCACGCGGGGCTCTGTCCCAGCCCCATCTCCGCCCTTCTCCTAGGAACTTGCTTCTTAACTGGCAGTCAACGCCAACAGAGGCAAAACCAAAAGGAAACCGCCACGCGTGGTCCATATTTCAAGAAGGGGGCCTGCCCTCCCTGTCTGCCCGCTGGCCAGCAGAGCTCGCTCCACACTAAAGACCATACGTCTGAGGCCTCCTACAGAGAAGCCAAGGTGTGGGTCCTGGAGGAGGAGTTAGTCTGCGGTTTGGCCAGAAGGAGCACTGCATCTCCACGGTGGCGCTAGGGATCTGCAGAGGTGATTCCAGTGAGGATACCTGTGTGGAATCACCTCTGTCCTCCATGTCTCGGAAGCGTAGTGTTTGGGTGAGGAAGGACCCCTCTAGTGTGTCAGGCTCACTCAGTGTCAACCTGCAAGCGAGAAATGGCCTTTCCTTTCAGCCTCAGCTGCTGGGGTCCCATGGATAACCAGCCCCTCTGCTTCGCAGAGATGGCCAGCATCCATGGCAGGGCATTTGCTGCCCTCGCAAGTAATTTATTTATGTGGAACAGGAAATAAATAAATTACGACCACTGGCAGTGGTGAGGTCAGTTGAGCAGATGGGGCAGCACTCTCCGAAGGGGGTCTCGGGGCTGAGGCAGTCTTTCATGTCTTCACAGATTATGTCGTCGCAGAGGACAGTCCCAGTGTCACAGACACAGATCCGGCAGGGCTCGGGCTTCCACACATCCTTATCGTTATACCTCTGCCCGTCCTGCACACAGCTGCCAGCCTTCTCTGCACCGGGGGTGGGGCAGGGGAAGCAGACAGCCAAGGGAAGGAGGGGGTGAGGAGTCAGAAGGGAAAAAGAGAAAGAGGTTGCAAGTCAACTCGACATAATTCAAATGCTGAAGGAGGTGGGCTCGGGCCACTCGAACACAAAGAACTTGAAAATGATTTTTCTAAGACATCATTCATTCTTCCGTGGAGTCAACAAACATTTGTTGTGTGCCTTGCACTCTGCTGTCTATTCACCAGTGGAAATCCTGAGCCAGCAGGGAAGGCGAGGGGGACTGACTATGCCTACTGTCTTCATGCATCTAGATAAATACAACTGACAGCTAAAATGTAGAAGGCGTGCCGAAAATTCTACCCACAAAAATTAGACTCTGCAAAGAGCCAGGCTCCCAAAGTGATGTATGGGGGTGGGGTGTGTGTGAGAGGAGGAGCTGTGACAATTAGGATCTTCTTCCATTCTTTAAATCATATCAGGATTAGGACCAATTTGGGGAGGGGCATAGGCCCAGTTAAACAATACACCTGGGACCCAAGGGTATAACAAAATGCCCTGGGGGGCAAGCAGGGCCAAAGAACCCCGCCCGCTGCCGCTGCCGGTGCTGACCTCCAGCTGCAGCCCTCTCTGGAGAGACCTTGCTTCCATCTGAAGACAACAGCCCAGCTTGGAGGAAGGGGGTGTGTGGAGGGGGCTTTGAATGCCTGGTCCGGGCTAAGATTAGCCAATCCAGGCCTTGCCTCCTCCAGGAACGCAGCCCAAGAACGGCATGCACTAGTCCCTCTCCACAAGCGGCCTGCCTTCCGGAATTCGCCCTGCAAACGAAGCCTGCGCTGACAAGAGCGCTCCGGAGAGCGCCAAGCGCGGCCGAGCCCGCGCCACGTGCCGGGGAGCGCCCAGTGCTGTTTTTCTCATCAAAATCCCCAAAGCCCTGGCGACTGCGGGGGTTGAATAATAGGAAAGGGCCACAAACCAGGTGGGCGGAGAGAGAAACGGCCCGCCCCGTGCTCTTTAAGGAGACTGAAAGATAAATCTTTCTTTCTGTCTTTTTTTTTTTTCCCCACTAGAAACGCTCCACCCAGCCTTTAGGCGAGATAATCACGGGGAGGGGAGGGGGGAGAGGGAGCCTAGGTTATATACAGTTGTTGCAGGGCGCACGCACCGCTATATATAGGTGGAGCTGTAGAAAGCGAGCTGCGGGAGAGCGACTGGAAGAACCCCCCCCCCCAAACCCAAGAGGGGCCGTGAGGGAAGAGAGTAAAGTGCTGGGAGAGCGGGGTGCACTCTGAAGGCGTATCAGATTTCCCTCGGAAGAGTGGCCGGGGATGAGCGGGCGCAGGGGCGGGGCCGCAGCGCTGGGCGTGAGAGCCGTCGGGTGACTCTTTGTGGCTGCGGCTCTGGACACGGCTCGCCCACAGACACTGGGAGGGTGAAAAGTGGGATAAAATGACTGCCCCAGAAAGGAGCCAGCGCCGTAACCGGATCCCCTAGGTGTGGACGGAGGAGCCCAGCGCCACCATAATTGCTGTTCGAAACGGCTGCCGATAGCATCCCGGCGCGCCTGATCGGGTTCCCCTCATTACCGCAGCGCCACATAAGTGATTCTTTGTAGCAGGCCAATTAAAAAGTTACCTCTTTCGGGGAACTGTTTTGCTTCGCAGCCGCTTTGCGCAGGGCTGGAGCCCGGGAGGTGTCCGCGGGCGGGCACAGGGGAGCATTGTGGGAGAGGGGGTCGGGGAGTCCTGGGGAACCCACCGGACCTCGTCTCTCATGAATGCGGCTTTTCTCGAGTGCACACAGAGCCCGATTCACAGGTCTCCGCAAGGAACCAGTTTAAATAAATACGGGCAGCGTTTCAGCCCCATCTGGAAGCCATCGCTGCCAATCTCCCAACGCAAACAAGCCTCACAATGGAGGATTGAGGTCTCTCCCCTGAGCCGAGGGGCACATTCAGAGGAGAGGGCTGTGAAATGCAGATGTGGGTCAAAGACGCCGCCGCCAATAAGTTTCTCAAACTTGTGGAAAGATGGGGAGGAGGGTCGTGCCAGAGTTCTAGGTTTCTGACATTCCTGATGTCCACGCAGACTGCGTCTTTCCCCACGTCACGTCTTTGGGTCCGCTGACCCAGGGTAGGGGGGTACGGAGCCGGGATGCGCCAGGGTGCAAAGTCAGCGGCTCCAAAGCACTCCCCCTGGGGAGGAGGAGGATCGACTGGAAGATTTGGGCCCAAGAAACTGTGGAATTCACTACCTCCTAGGAAGGCTGCGGCGCTGAGACGCTCTGCCACTTAAGTGAGAGCCTCTAATACCAGATGGAGAATTGGGGAGTTATTTTAGAGTCACCTAGCTAATTCCACTGCGAACTGAGGCAGAGGTCAGTCAAGAAGACAGTTTTGTGAGTGTGTACATGCAAATTTAGGACAAATATATAGTCAGTCCGAGCTGGGGCCACTTATAGACGCACCGTATTCCAACAAGTACCCGGGAGCGGGCCTCCAGCTTAGTGCACCATCCGACAGCCTGACCAAAATCTCCTGCCCGGGGCTCCCTGCAGCTGCACCGCGGGCCCCAGTCCCAGTCAACCACCCTAATGCATGGAAAGTCCTTCTGGGTCCGCAGCCTTCTAAACTGTGTCTGCAGATAGCCTAGTGGCAGACGAGATTGCAGACAGCCTCGTCGGCAGACGGACTTTGACTTCCATTACTCCCCACCCCCACCCCCCCGCCAAAAAATTTCCCCTGCGATTGATTTACAATTTGTAACATACAAAGACAGGGCTGGAATCCCAGCCGTCGGAAACGTGCCCAAACACGTGGGAAAAAAAATAACTTCTCTACCTAATACACTTTCCAGGCTTCATTTGTCCTAAATATAATCCCAGACAGTGAGACTTCACCAAAGGAGGCGATGGAAAGGTGCGGTTCGAACCGCCTTTGGACCAGGCTGTAAAACTGCCGTCTCTAACTCTATTCGGTTGAAATTGTTATAGCAATCGACCAACCGTGTCTCCTTCCTCTGCTACACACACACACACACACGCACACGCACACGCACACGCACGCGCACACACACACACCTGGCAGAGCCTCGGTTATTTCCAGAAATTTTTAGAAAAGTAACTCATTGTAGTACCTGGGCGGGGGTGGGGATGTTAGGGGGGAAGACGGCGGGGAGGGGGCGCTATTTTCCTGGGCGTTTGAAAAGCACGGTCTGGTTGGAATGTTATCGCCTTTCAGATGGCCTCTCCTACGGGAAGTTTCTGTATCCTTCAGAGGCAAGGGGAAAGCCGAGATGCGAAGAGGGCTGCACTTTGCTCCTGGGCCAGCCGTGAGGG